TTCGAACCGAGGGAGATTTTTTCCAAGGGTTGAAGCTAAAGTACACATTGCAGTTAATATATCATCAGTTGACCTAGTATGGGATGAACTTTTGTATTTTTGTCATGTGCGCACAAAATGGCGCTCGAAGGATGTAAACAACGGAATTGTCTATCTGCATGGTTGCATCTATATGGTCGTGTTAATGACATATTCTGGAATTTGGACTCGAAAGTGATTGACGTGGGATCAGTACTCGAAACGGAAAACAAAACGCACTATTTTTGAGGTCAGCGTAAAGGAGGCTAAAGTTGGGGAAAAATCGTCTGTGTAAATATATGCCGTGATAAAGCGTCAACGATAATAACGGTGTACAATTAGTCACTCCTAATCATAGTGGGAGTGCAGTCGGTGAATACCCACCGATTATGTATTAACTACAAAGTGCATTTTTGATTCGACCTAAGGGATTTTTTTCCCAAGGGTTGAATTCTAAGTACACATTTCAGTTAATATATAATCAGTTGACCTAGCATGGGGTGACCTTTTGTATTTTTTTCTTCAATAAGAAATACTTACTATTGAAACCGTCGGGGGAAATTCACACAATTTTTCCAATAAACGTTCACAACATTGATTTTCAACAGAGGAGTGAAACCCATGCAAAGCTCCATGAGTATGCCCATTGTAACAAATACCCAAGACGTCAAATGCTAGTTTGGACAAATCGATTGTCATGTGCGCACAAAATGGCGCTCGAAGGATGTAAACAACAGAATTGTCTATCTGCATGGTTGCATCTATATGGTCGTGTTAATGACAAGCCCTTTTGTAACAATCGCTCCATATTATTTTGAGACAACCCATTTTAGGTTGGATTGGAGGAAAGACACCTTAAAACCCGATTAATTTTTTTTATTCTCCAGTCACAAGTATCTGCTTGGATCCAGTAACCTAGACACAATATATGTAACAGTGACTTCTCTGCAAAAAAGTGCCTTGTCATCAGACTAATCAGTGCATTACAACTTTACCCAAGATCTTATTCACTCGACCCCCCCCCCCCCTAATACTTTTTTCTGTCAAACTCAAAAACTGTGTAGCATATCTTGCTCAAACTAATCGGTACAGGAATTCCATAGCAAAAGAGCATTTTCTTTCAAATACTGAAAAAATCATGAAAATAGCACATTGGGTTGCTGAGAAAATGAGAATTATATAAAAAGATACAAATCCACTGATCCCTTTTTAATGCAAATATTTTAGGGGTCGATTTTTTTGTTGGGGGGGGGGGCGTCAACATGTAAAGTGGTTACACCGTTCAGCTTGTAACGCCATTGGAACGAGGGTGCATTATATGGCTCTGGCTTGATCAGCGTTGAGGCAGCGGCTGGTGAATTTCAATAAATTCACTAAGGAAATCTAAGCAAAAAAAATATGGTTCACCAGTACAGAAAAAGCATAGGAGAGCCAAGAAAGATTTTGAACAACAATACACGAAAATATCGGTTTGTCGTTGTGGCACTCTTGCAAATCAGAGGCAACTGGGCACAGGCCGGTATAGTGGAGACCCCCCCCCCCCAAAAAAAAACACCTAAGTAAAAAAACACAGACACACAATTGGGGTTAATTAAACAATTGTTTAAACAGGAACTATGATACGCGATAACGAATATTTTTGGGGTATTATTAGTCACTCCTTATCCGAAGTGGGCATGCGCAAAGAGTAAGGCCAACGAAACTACGTACAAGCCTTGGTTACCTATTAACTGTCACGGAGTAGCCATTTTTTACTCTTTGCTGCAAAAATTATCAAGGCACGTATGCGGGAGGATTACTATTTATTTAGGTATTGGCATTATATGAGTACAACGTATTACAAACTGATGAAGCCTCTGATGATCAAAAGCTTTTCTGTAGCTTCTCCCTAGACCAAGAGGTTCTGCGAAGTTAAGACTACCTGAAATAAAATAACCCAATATCTATTTTTTGTAAATGTAGTAATCATATGTTTTTGTTTATAGTTGTAGTAATTATAAATCTAAGTGGTTTATGTAAGGATAGCCACTACAACATCCGAATATACATGACTTATAGACCTTCGAATTCAAATTCGCAGTCGTAGTTCGCTGGGCACTGGAGTCAAGTGTGAGCAGCCATTTTGCGTCATATCCAAGGAACAGTAAAACAAAACCCACTCAACCACAACCGTGTACTCTATGCATACATTAACTTACAATACACACGTGAAAGTAATGATCGTCTCAATACTTTAATGATATCCTCACATATATATTACCCCAAAGCGGTTAATAACATGAAATTTAGAGCTGCTAATTTGAAGAAAAAAAGCTTTTTAAACTATTATGAGAAAACAATTACAAATTATTGCGAAGGCATTAGTGAACAAAATAAAGCAACCGGATTAACAGATTTTGCGTCATATCCAAGGAACAGTAAAACAAAACCCACTCAACCACAACCGTGTACTCTATGCATACATTAACTTACAATACACACGTGAAAGTAATGATCGTCTCAATACTTTAATGATATCCTCACATATATATTACCCCAAAGCGGTTAATAACATGAAATTTAGAGCTGCTAATTTGAAGAAAAAAAGCTTTTTAAACTATTATGAGAAAACAATTACAAATTATTGCGAAGGCATTAGTGAACAAAATAAAGCAACCGGATTAACACGTGATCCAAGTCACGTGAGAGGACAACTCCTCCCCCCCCCAAACAAAAGCGCTTTCAAATGCATCACGAACACATACATCTTTGACAATATGCCAAATATGTCTGGTCCTCAACACGTAAAAGCCCTGTCGTTCTGTAATCTCCTGAGAAAGCCAAGTATTTTTTTTTCAAGCGAAACAACACTTCAATCGATCGATAACGAGCGCAATAACAGCCAACCACAGTGACAAGTTCGCAAGTCCACGCAGTTCACGGATTGGTTGTGCAATACCAACGAACTTACAATACAAAGAATACCGTTACTTAAACGGAGTAACCCAAAGGAAATGTCTATAAAGACGTTTTGCATCCATACTGTTCAGTTGCCCGAACAAATTTCTTGCGAATAAACAAACATGCGATTTACAGGTAACCCTTAAGCCCAGTTCATACTTCATGCGAAAGCGAATGCGAAGCGAATTTGACGTCATGAAACATTCGCTGCGAAATTCACCCGAGTTGAAATGTGTTCAACTTTCACGAATTCGCAGCGCGAATACTTGCCATGACGTCACAAATTCGCGTTCGCTTTCGCTTTCGCGCCGAGTATGAACTGGGCTGTAAGCTCTTTGATAAAAAAAAAAAAAAAACTTTCAAATATGTTGCTAAAATATCTTTGGAAATGAATATTTATTTTGCATTTTAACCTGCTCATAAAAAGAATATCATTCAATAAGCTAATAGATAACAAATTATTTGCTTTAGCATTCTCTTAAGCAACTGACTTCAAATAAAAACTTGCCAAAACATGTAAATAGTTGCGATGTGAGAAAAGCTATTTACATACACATTACATTATTAAAGAATCCACCAGAAAAGTCTAGCTAGCGCTATGTAAAATTACACAGTATAAAACAAGGATACTGATATTAATGTGTATATTACAATTTCTTTTTAAACTTATTCCATTCAAATCGTCGGATCCACATCATTGAGATCGACCGTGCACACAGCACAGGACCTCCACCAAGGATTGGCCCTATGGAACGCCAAAGCCGGCTTCTATAGTTCGATTTCATTCCGTAATCAATTTCATTAATCCATTCGGCGATTTCATCATTCCATTCGGCAATTTGATCATTACATTCGGCAATTTCATCATTCCATTCGGCGATTCCATCATTCCATTCGGCGATTCCATCATTCCATTCGGCGATTCCATCATTCCATTTGGCGATTCCATCATTCCATTCGGCAATTTCATCATTCCATTCGGCGATTCCATAATTCCATTCGGCGTTCATCCTTTCATTCGTCTATTTCGCATTTGATTTAGCCATTCCACATTTCATTCAGCAATTTCGCCCCTTTTGCACTTCATGCTATTCTGCATTTCGCTTTTCATGCAGCCATTTTGCATTTCAAGCAGCTATTCCATATTTCATTCGGTCTGGCAGCGTCCATCCGTACGTAAGCGTTAAAGGGACATAAGACAAAGTAAAAAAAAAAAGTCTTAATTATGACTTATTATTAAGTCATTGTTATGACATATCTTATAATAATGACTATTAAGTCATAATTATGATATATATCATAAATACGACTTAGTAATTGTTAAATCATAATTATGACTTATATCTCATAATTATGACTTATTATTAAGTCTTATTTATGACTTATATGTTATAATAATGACTTAATACTAAGTCGTAATTATAAGATATAAGTCATGACTTAATGATAAGTCATTATTATAAGATATAAGTCATAAATATGACTTATTAATAAGTCATAATTATGAGATAAAAGTCAGAATTATGATTTAACAATTACTAAGTCGTAATTATGAGATATATATCATAATTATGACTAAACACTAAGTCATTATTATAAGATATAAGTCATAACAATGACTTAATAATAAGTCCTAATTATGACTTTTTTCTTCTTTTTTTACTTTGTGTTATATCCCTTTAACGCTTCCGTACGGATGGACGCTGCCGGACCGAATGAAATGCGGAATAGCTGCATAAAATGCGAAATAGCTGCATGGAATGCGAAATGCAGAATAGCATGAAGTGCAAGAGGGGCGAAATTGCTGAATGAAATGTAGAATGGCTTAATCAAATGCGAAATAGACGAATGAAAGGATGAACGCCGATATGGAATGATGGACTCGCCGAATGGAATGATGAAATCGCCGAATGGAATGATGGAATTGCCGAATTGAATGATGAAATCGCCGAATGGAATGATGGAATCGCCGAATGGAATGATGGAATCGCCGAATGAAATGATGGAATCGCCGAGTGAAATGATGGAATCGCCAAATGGAATGATGAAATTGATTATGGAATGAAATCGAACTATAGAAGGCGGCTTTGGCGTTCCATATGGCCCATCTGCTGAACTCACTAACCGCGACCACGGCCAATCCACTGTCGCCTTCTCCGCTACAGCGATCGCCAGTACATACTGAAAAAATGCAGCCAAGCACCTCAAGAACAATAAGTTCAAGGGCAAAAATATATTCATCACAGATGATGTCACACCAAAAGTAAGATCCCAAACGGAAGGATCTAAGAGAAACCCATCTACGGCGTTTCCAGAACCAAGAGAGGGTCCACTTCGCATTTATCCCGTGGTCTGTTCCAGCAATATCCGATACAAGATACGTGATGGGCCCTTCAGATCATACCGTCTTGGGGGAGAAGCCCGAAACCCACGCCTCACTTGGTGATTAATATTATAATGCAGTTCCGTTACTTGTGTGTTTTCTGTGTTTTTGCTTTGTGTACTGGTGTGAGACAAACCATGAAGAATACATTTGGTTCATTCAACTGGCAAAGATGGGTCCTCCAAATATTGGTGAGTGAATGATGCGTTATTAATCAGCCATTAATGTTAATGCATTCCGACATAGATCAAGTGTACATTTTGATATTCGTTACAATAACTGTAATTTTATAATGAAGATGGGTTTTTAGATAATTTTAACAATAGCAATGATATTAAGCTGCTGCATTTTAATGCTCGTAGTCTACCAAGAAACATTTCAAGCATTGTTCAATATTTAAATATATTACAAAATAGTTTTGCAGTTATTGGAATATCTGAAACCTGGTTAAAGGATATACATGACTCCCTATACAAATACCTCATTACACTATTGAAGGTAACTGTAGACAAAACAAAAGAGGTGGTGGTGTTGCACTATATATGAAACCTGACCTAGCGTATACAAATCGCACTGACTTATGTCTTACTAATTCTGATATTGAATCATGTTTGATTGAACTTGTTAACGCAGGTAAAGCGAATATCATCGTTGGAATTGTTTATAAACCTCCTTGTGTGACATGTAATGACTTTATTGAAAGTGTTGATACAATATTATCACAAATAGATAATGAGAATAAATCGTGTTACATTATGAGCGATTCTAATATCAACTTAATGAAATGTGATACTGATAATAGCGTTCAAAGCTTCATGGATACCTTATTATCTCATTCTTTCTATGCTACCAACCAGGATTTCTACGGAAAGTGCAACTCTTATTGATAATATTTTTACCAGTGTTTATCAAACTCATCCTGCCGGTGTTTTGGTGACCGATATCAGTGACCATCTTCCTGTATTTTTAGTAATTGGAAACCTTAAATAAAGAAAGAGAGTAACCTGATCGCACATGTAAAAAGCGTGACTTTAACCACAATAATATTGACAATTATATTCATGACTTGAATGATACTGAATGGGATGAAATAACGTCATCAAATGATATTCATAGTATGTTCAATACATTTCTGTTACATGTTACACGAGGTAAAATGCCGTCATGATAAACTCAAATCCACTTGGTTAACTGACGGTATTTACCATTCAGTTAGGTGTAAAAATTATTTGTATAGAAAATTCAGGAAGAAACCTACTTCGCACAATAAATCTGTCTATACCTGCTACAAATATAACCTAAACTCTCTTATTTAATTTTCCACATAAAGTTATCTCCATTAAAAATTTAATGAGGTAAAATGCAACATTAAAGGTACTTGGAATGTAATTAATTCTCTTCTTAATAAGGGCAAACAAAATGCTAACCCTTCTCTTTTTAACCAAAACGGTACTAATCTTGCATCCTCGTGTGCTTCCCTTGCTCCATGCACGGTCCAATAGGAAATTAGACTTGTTCTTCGTTTTCATCTGTGGCCTGCAGGGCTGCGTTAGATGATGCACAATCATCGTACGCTGGTGGGGGCTCATCATCATTTTTGCCAGCATTAACATCCAATTCTAAAATTAAACACCGGATTTAGAAGATCTCGATCAGTTTCATGCAGGACTGTGCACATTCATGTCTAAATGTTGTTTAGCTGAATTTAATTTGATTGAGGGGTTATCAATATGTTGGTGTCATCGTAATAGCTTAACTGATGGGAATGTTTTACTTTTAGGTACTGCTGAGTTCTGTTTATGTTTTTATTGTTGATCAATATATCACTCACACTGTAAACGGCCCTGGACTTTGAGCCCAATTTTGAAGGGGCGAAAAAAAGCAAATCGCCACTGGATAATTGCTTTTGACAATGTTGCCCGTGACAACAGCAATTTTATGAGGACATTGAGTTCTTGAACCCATTAGGTGCCATCTGAGCCGACATCTAGTCAACATGCACTCTATAATTCGGACTAATAAGATGGACGTAATGGTTCTCCGGTAAAAAATATTGACTGGTTATCAGTTGCACTCTCTTCATCCTAATGAAAGTGGACTGAACATTTATGGAAATGCCGAGCAAAGTTTATACCAGTACCAATTCACGCAGACACACGGTTTAAAACTGGAATAACTAATTGCATATGGCAACGGAAGTTTGTCGTCTTTGGAAGCCAACAAAGCGGTCTTACCAGCTGCTTGCACGTAGCTTGGAGGTTCGTCGCACGAAGGGTTGAAAACCGCAACTGACCTGATTAGGCAAAAGAAAAGCATAAAACTAGCATCTTGCCACTTACGCCCAGCCAAGAATATGCACACCTTCCGTCCATTCATCAAACTAACCTGCTATCTAATCTGAACGATATTTCTGAGCCGCCTAAAGCAATCAAATTGTAGCTGAATATATAGGAAGATCAGTCATTCCCTTTGCTATAAGGAAAACAAAAATCCAATTGAAACCAGTTCAACTCGTTTCAACATTAATTTTCACCTAGGCTGCAGTCTTCGAAACAACTATTTGGACTAAGGGAGGCACAACCTAACCTGTCATGTTCGATCCAGCATGCTTCACAGATAGCTTTGGGGACAGGCAAGAGGTTCAGTGGAGTCGCTAGAGATCAGCCTACCTAGCCAGTGAGCCATCACTGCTATGCAGTCAGCAATTGTAACCAAGTCATTGTTTCCAAGAGTCAATTTTTGTTTTGTTGACAATGCTCATCGAGTCGGCGTCTTGAGTCAACAACACAGATTACGGCTTAATCATCTTTTCAGATGGTGGTATGCCTCGAGACCTCAGTGGGTACACACAGTCCGATAAGCTACTCTGCATGCATTCAGTTGGGTCCAACCGATGTTCCCAATACCTATTATGTTCCTAGTTCCCCCAAATCTGTAGGGTTAGGGTTAGAGTTTAGGGAACAAAGGCATTGGTTGGGGAACATAGGTTTTGGGGAACATATGTATGCAACCTATTCAGTAATCTTAGTTTCATCAGCATGTCAGTCGCCAGACAACATTCCGTGGAGGCAGCCATATAGATTTAAGAACCAGCCAGCCTTCCTTTCATTTTACATATTTCTGTGACGTCACACTGTTGTTAAAAAGGTAGGTAATATTACAAATCTACACTTTACTGTAGATTATTTTAAGAAGCTACAGTTGTTGTGAATAGTCTCTGCGAACAATTCCAGGTACAAACGGGACTCGCTAGAAATTTGAAGTAACATTCCACTTAAACATGTAAAGAAAAGGAAATGTCAACGGTACCTACAAATGTACTAATTTTGGGGTTTTAGTTTTCTAAAGAATCGAAATGTACCTGCTTTTAGCCTACTATTTAAGTCATTACAATTGTTACACAAACACTTCTCTTTGGATTTTTTTTTTATTTTCCGCGCCTTAATTTGAAATTTGTAATTTGTAAATTTTTTTTACTTTTTAAAATTTTATTTTTAGTTCATAAAAGTCATTGGCAGCTGGCAATTTATTTCTAAAGCACCCATGTTCCTTTTGCACCCGGTAAAAGATCGTTGTATTCAACGTTACAATTATCCTTTTAATTAATCTTAGTGTGATAGACACTGTTCCTGCATTAAAGACTCTTTGCTTTTTCTTCGTGCGAACCCGTCTATTTAGTACTTACGGATTTGGTTGTGGTCCATTCCTTCTCAACTCATCTGCAAAACGAGAAACATAAATATGTTCAGAAGGATGAGTGTGATTCATAATATTTTCATAACAGCTGTTTTTTAACACTTTTTAAAACATTTTTGACTATCTGGATATCGAAAACTTTGTTTTCTTTTTTTATCTTTTAGTAGTTTGGAAGTTATGTTCTGACAATATCTCCTTTGAATACAAAAACGTGTTCCAATGTTCGCATGCAAGACACATTTACCTGCAATCCGATGCAAGAAAAATTATCATCATGAAATATTTTAACCTTGGTCAATATATTCTGAGTTCAATATTTGGAGAATACCAAGTGGATGTTTCTTTTAATAAACTTGGCTTACTCCGAGGGCTGACCTTGCCACAGCTGAAGCACTTGCAGAAGTAACACATTGCAATGGCCAATGTCAGAAAGAAAATACCAGCAGACACGCTCACCGCGACTATGACCACCACTTTACTATCGGTTGGACCGTTGGGCTCAGGAGTCGGTATAGGTACTGTACACCGAAACAGTTTGGTAAACAAAATAGAGTGAATGAGTTTAATTAATCTTGCTATAATGGTCAGTCCACATATTCGGGATCCAAAATGCGAGCAATGTTGGTTCCCTTGTTAATACACCCGACCTGTGTATATTGCCATAAAAGTATAAATAATCAAACTACTGTTATTTTGTGAGTCAGATACTTTGGTTTTAATAATCAATCTTTGAGGTAGAAATCATTAAATAATGTTACCTGAATTTATAAAATCTAATATCAGAAGTAACAGGGACACGAAAAACAAATGGATCCCAAATGTACCGACTGAATCTATAATAAAGCGTGTTTTTTTTTCGATTATACATGGTGGGAGATTTAAAAGATACCATTAACCCTAAAAGGGCCGGGTTATTTTGACCATCTTTCAGCGGGGGGGGGGGGGGGGGGGGGGATTCAGCCCCCCTACCCCAAGATCTCGACCATCGAGTGACGAAAATTACATCGTTACATGCATAGAGCAACTCTTCATGAACATACCCAAGACATTTCATGACGATAGGTCAAAGTGTTTCGGAATTATGGCTAATTAATTATTCATATGTATGAATGGTAATTCTGGTCTGTGTACACGACGTATATGGGGACATTCAGTTTTCACGGCGCGTAGCGCCGAAAAAATTTCGCTGCGCGACAACCCCTTTTCCGATTTTTATATTTTTGGTGTCAAAAGATGCGCAAGGCTCGAGGTCAAAAAGTCATAACAGCTGGGGTGGCAAAAAAAAATATTTTAAAGGCTATCGCGGCAAAAAATCGAGGGGGGGGGGCTGGATTCCGCCCCCGGCCCTTTTAGGGTTAAGACAACATACATGTGTATCATTGTAGATGCATTGCTTTGTTCTCGTGTTCAGAAAGCTCAAAGGGTCGAAATTTTTTTTTTTTTAAAACGCTCAAACTTGAACCAGAATTAATCTCCTGGGTTAGAATTCAGACCAAATATTCATTACATAAAATACTTAATAATTTTCGACCGCTAAAGTATACCTTGGAAAATCCCAGTTTTTGAGTAAAATCCATATATCGATTTCCGGAAATCTTTGTGGAGACCCTGTGGAGAATTTTATTGCCTTTCCTATTTCGTAATCTAAAACGTACATCTGCAGATTTCGTAGTCTTCCACATTAATGTTTGTGTTTGACTTAAGTAGAGAACAACCAATTGTTTGTTGATTTGTACTTTTTGTACTTTTGTACTTGTTTTTGCAGCGCCTGTCATTGGTTTCGTATTATGTTGCTAAATGGGAACTGTCTAGTAGGAAAGGAATTCCCCTCATTGGTCCGATACGCGTGGGCTTTTACAACACATCCATCTTCGTCAACACCGGCAATCGTGGACCCCCCCCCCCATTGTCCCTAATCCTCATTCCTTTGTTTGTACAAAGGAATTATGATTAGGATTAAACAGCTGTTATTGCCTTGTGCACGAATTTCAATCTCGGACCTTTGGTCAATCGTGGACGTATTATTTTTGCCCTAGCCCTTTGGTCCACGATTGCCGGTGTTACCATACTAACACACACTAGCACCCATCTTTGTAAACACCAGATTCGTGGACCCCAACTGTCCCTAATCCTCATTCCTTTGTTTGTACTCTTACTTTTTGGCAACAGCTCTCATTGGTTTTGTGGACGAATTTCAATCGTGGACTATCGGTCAATGTGGTCGTATTGTTTGTGTCCTAACCCTTTTGTCATCGGTCCACGATTGCTGGTGTTTACATACTCATACACATCCAGTGGTGTTTTACTATATTCGCCCAAGTATGTATTTTCCTGCAATCGGGAACCCCCTATTGTCCCTCTTGTTAACTTTTTAGGAAGACCTCCCATATGTTTTATACACGAATCCAAACTAAGGACCTCTCGGGCATTGGCGACCCCATTATCCTCTATTGAGGATTTTCTATCGTTCATCATCATCATCTATCTTTTGTTTATACATTGTACTCAACTTTTTGGCAACAGCTACCGTTGGTTTGGTACACGTTTTCTAAACCAGGACTTTCACTATTTGAATCCTGTCCCCAATTACTCGATGATGCTTCACATGTGTGCCCTCAATTCAAACCAAGTAGCATACACACTTACCGATGTCAACAAAAGACGAGGAACTGCACACTTTGTCCCGACAGTATCGACAATCGAAGCGGTCAGTGGAAATCGGGTCGGAGTACAGGAACTCCCCGTCACGCTGAATGCAGTCCAGGTCTGGCCTCAGACTCACAACTTCCCATGTGGGTGCGCCAAGCTTCCCCTCAAGTCCTAGGCAGGTTCCGGCGTCGTCGTCTTCCGGTATACCGCTGATGACAAACTTGCCTTCTGACTGGATGTATATCACGGTTATACCTGACAAGAGGTTAGTTTGATATGCTGTTATCTACTGACCTTTTTCTTCGTTTTAAGAGCCTTGTGTTTATCAAAAGTTCTGTATCATTTTTATTAAGATAAATGATTTTATTTTTTTCTTAAATATATATTGAGAGTAACATGAGACTCGTGACTGTTTTACTCATATACAACAATGCCTAGTTTGCCTTCCAAACGAAAATTGAAAAACGCACAAACGCACACACGTGTTTAGTCTAAGGTGGCATATTATGATAAATCGCTAAATATAATGTTGTTATGTAGCCTGGAATGGGCCCAATTGTATAATATAAACGTCCACACAACCATCCTTTAAAACATGGGACTTTTTAAATGTATTCTTGCGAGAACCAAGCGACAACGAATTTCGGGTTCACAAAAAAATCGAGCCGGATCGACGGTGCTAGTTGTGAGTCCAGCCGCATAGTGGACGTATTCTGCGGACGTGTAAGAAACAGCATTAGTGTGTTGGTACTGTGTGTATCTAATGTAATACACACAAGGTGTATCGTACATTGAATGAGAACGATCGTAAATTGAATGAAAACGACAGGAAATACGTATGCGTACTCCACCGCGTCCGTTGTAAAAAAAGCTTTTTAGGTTAGATTCCGTTCAACTGGACCTGTGAAAAGTGTATGTTAACAATCCAATTCAGCCCGTAATATCCCTTTAACATGAATTGTTTTAACCTGTCACATTATTAGTTAAACAAATATTGCTTGTGAAATGCGATTAAAGCACATTCAAATAATCATACACAAGCCGTAATACACCAAGATCAATACACTTACCCATTATAAACGGGCTTGCAGCTGTAGTGTAACAGATATGGAAGGGAACAAAAGTGCAAAGAATTGTTAGAGGTTGATTAGCAAATTGGATTAGTTTGCAGCTGGTGACAAGACGCTTACTCGGAGAGTGATTGATGGGGAGGGGCTTTACTCAATCGGACCAGCAGGGGAACTGCTTAAGCAGTATGTATTTTTGCGTATTCACAAGAATAATGCATGGTGTTTTTTTACGAGCATTTCTCGCATGAAACTATTTCTCGCATGAAACCATTTGTTCCTGGTTATCTTTGGCGTGAATAAACAATAAACCCTATGACCTGAACCCAAGTCCTCAAACGGTTTCGTAAACAAAGCGGGGACACAGTTCGAGAAGCAAGTTCAAATAACGGAACAAGGGAACCACTGGTCCTCCTAAGTACAGGTTTCCGAGGTTACTCTAACACTTGTATCATTTACATTCCAATCAAAAGATACTTCCATTTCGTCACAGAAAGTTAATGGGCTCTACATGTATAGTAAATTCCAATTTCGAATTCCCACCAACATTATTTCACTTGGTGAATATTTACTTGGTGCTTTGTATTTTACGAATGTAGGCTTCTAAATCGTCCAAGTTTCGGGAAATTCGTCTCATTTTGGAGATTAACGTTGAACCGGAAATGCAATTTGATATTGCTATCTATCTGATAATGTCTGATATTGCTTTGAATTGTGACACAACTCGAAATGGCTTATTGTTAGTCTGAACATAGATTCAAAATGGCGAGTCATTTTAAGTCTGATCCCGTGCAGCGAGTGCATTGGTCAGAATGACGAGTGACGTATTGATCAAGCTAGTTTAAATAATCTGCGTGTGTATATCATATTCCAATAGGGTGCTGGTTAATAGCGTGACGCATGGGTGTGCAGGTAGTCTTTCGGCAAGGCCACCGTGGCTTAGTAGAGCGGCGAATCAGCGAAATCACGACGCGACTGGAGCAAACACAAAGCCAGCGTTCGCGAGTGGCGAAGCCTAGAGGCCTTTTCACAGCCTTGACTCCAGGGGCGCGTGCGCGTTCCTTCGTTCCTTACACTAACCCCTGGCCGTGATGATGACGTAAGTGACGCTGACTGGCGGGCATTTCGAAGATGCGGGCATTTCGAAGATTGCCCGCCGGGCGCGCAAGTAATGCGCTCGCGTGCTTTGCACGTCTCGTCACGTACGAATATTCAAAACTGCGCGATGCCTGTACGTTATGGATTATGGCAGCCTCGTTTTTTGCTAACCCCCCCCCTGTATCTGCAGTTGTAAAGGGACGAAAGGGGTACGTTTCTTTAAAACAAATCTTTGCTAAAAAACACAATGTCCTAACCTTATGTTTGAAAGCATTGATTTTTCAAAAACACAACTTTCAACATTTTTAAGATGGCGTCGGCGCGTAAAACGGGTAAACTGCAGTCCTAATTATAATGTACCGTATTTCCGCATATTTAAATTACACAATTCCAGGGGTTACGATCGCGCAAGGCATGATGGAAAACAACATGGTGCTGCAAGATCGTACCCACGGGGACGAGGTTGGCCTTTTCAAACTTGATTTAGGCGCGTGCGCGCGTGCGCGCGGGTCCGGGTAGTAGCCATGCGCGATTTATAAGGCTAATGATTGGTTGGAATTTTGCTACCCTTTTAGGGTAGACTTGGCCAAGTCTGGGTTGCGCTCGGTCTGTGCCTATAGTAAATCCACTCGCAGCGCTTACCGCATACGTCCTAACAGTACATAACGCGCGCCCTCATGCGTCGAATCCGGACCATCATGTTAAAAACGTACATGTACATGTTATTTTCAAGTGATGCAGCAACCCCAACCTCGTCCCCAGGGTGTCGAGCAGAACGCGCCCACCACTACCTGCTCTCTCACCCTGGTATTGGATCATTTGCATGTGCAAGATTTTTGAACACGTATGCAAATGAGGAACAGTCTGGTGCCTGGATATGCGTTACACATTAGCGTTTGTTTTTGTATGCGGTGTCTGGGGTAAAAACAGAGTCAATTCGTAGCAGCGCGAGCACGGCGTGAGTTACGAAAACACGATTTTTGAAATCAAACTGTAACGATCTTATCGAGACAACATGCAGTATAATTATTTCATATTAATATGAGCAAATTGGAAAGGAAATTAGTATTTTCGAGAAGGCGTGGACGAATGATCGCGAAACACGTACTGCACGTTGTAAGAATAATAGCACCAAATACACGATATAAATCCATTACTAGCCAATTGGGGTATCCAATCAGGATACAAGAAGAAAGTTTCCTATCCATGGTTTACTATTGGAAACGCGGTTGGAAATAAAGTAAGCACTGGGGACGAGGTTGCAGCAACCCAGACTTGGTCAATCTGCCAAGCGTACGCGCTGGTTTGTTCCACGTTTGAAAACAGTCTATGGAAATTAATTCTCGATGTGATTGTCCTCTACCGATTTCGGTAGAAACCAATCATATCACAGTATTTCAGGTAATGAGCGTTTTTATTCTTAAAAACGCGTGCAGATTGTTTTGATATTATTCCTCACAGGCAATCAGCGTTGTCTCCGTATTCGCGCAGCCAAAGTTTCGTGGAGAACGCACACGCATCCCATAGTGAGGAGTAGAAACAGATACACACACGCGTACGTTCGAAAGCTTTGAAACGGCTCTGGGTACCTGGTCGCAACATCTTTTACAGGTTAACCCCAATAAAAATTCCCTTTTGTTTTGAATGACATTTGAATGTCATATTCTTTATCAATTCAATCCAAGAGCAGCTGATCTTAGCATTATCATCCCAATATAATGTGTTTGAAATCTACAATTAACATTACGTTTTTAAACATTTGCAGATTGTTATCCAGCCTTTCATACCTACTGAAAATAATAAACGAGTCTTCAAAAATTGGTTAATTTGATTGGCCAAGCGATGTTGCTGCATATGCATAGAGATGGTGTTGCATATGCATCGATGAATACGTGCGCGTTCACGCGAGGGGGGGGGCGGTGCTGATGGCAGATTGATCAAGTCAGAATTGCTAACTTTTGCACCACATGTATGCACATGCTCTGCAATACATGCACACACATATGTACGTGTAATACGCGTGTTGTACAATGTACATACAGTGTGTGCGCATTGTTATATGGCACTGAAGTGGAACGCGCGCTGAAGTGTACCTTGTCGGGCATCTGGGAAGGCGTAAACTAAGTGATTTTCGCTACTTTTTTTTCTTTTAAGATTCCGACTTAAGGCAATTCCGACTTGAGTCAAGTCTATTTTAGGGTAGTAAAAATCGAGAAATAAAGAAAAACCTGACTAGTCTTCGCTCCAGTTACTTCGCGGCTTTGCCGCTCCGTCTAATAATAAGGGAATAAATGAGTGCTCCGGAGGTTTTTATCACTCTGTTTAAGACTGCTTATAGAGTCTGGGTGCTGATAATTACCCGAGCAGAGTGATAAATACCGACCAAGCACATATTTATTCCCATTCATAAATACCTTTTCGGTAATAAACTATAAAATAATTCGTTCAAAAAATCCTAATTTTCACTTTATGCTTTTTGAAACATCCCTCTAGCAAAATAATGGAGTGTTCAGCTGGCGAGTAAGACCAAGTTCGCGAAAGGACTATAGTTGACCAATGGTTAACTAACGTTTGCCCGAACTCTGTCTAGTCGACGGTGGTTGACTACGCTAGTCGACTATTTGGAACCAGCTGACTGGGGTTGGTTGCTTCGCTGGTAACCAAACGCTAGCAGAGAGCCAGGATCCAGAAGTTTTGCGATGACATTTTGACCAGCGTTTGACTAGAGACGTTTGCACGTTGCTATCAGTGCGCAGGCGTAAGGTGCGTCACAAATCAACCACTAGTCGACTAATGGTCCTTGCCCGAACTTGGCCTAAGATGTAAACAACCCTTCTATGGAGATTGACTCGCGCGTAGCATGTTCTGCGCGATGTCGCGCAGCACGCACCTGGGGCTTTGCGTTTTGAATTTAGAACTAAAAAATGTTGACTCGCTGGTAGTGTTGCGCATGCCTACGTGAGGATTGTGAACGTTCAACCAATGAAACGGTAAGAGGCACTGGAATTTTAGGAGTCCACATTTTATTGTGACACTGGGAAAGTGTTTAAGACCAGCTAGACATGTCTTTATCATCCGTTTAAGACCGGCCACGTGACGGGCTCTCGACCAATAGGAATAGCTAAACTGTCTGAGGTATTTATGAATGTCAGTTAAAGCCACATTAGCCTTGGCGAAAGGCTAGTGTGCAGGAGAAGCAGGCGATAAAAGTACGAGGCCGTTGCCTGCCTGTCTTCTAATACATGTGTTTGTTATTAGGTCGGATCTCCAGTCTGATTTATCTTACGTTATGACTTACGGTTCATTCGCACGTCCACAGCCAAATAAGGACTGGAGCCAAGTCTGTTAGTTGCATACACTGCTACTTGGTAAGGGGTGTCAAATTGAAGGTCTAACATCTGCATGGAAAATTGATAACGATGGTATCGGACCCAGGCATGTGGGTCGAACTCTTCAGGAATCTTGCGAATGTTGACCCAAAAGTCCTCGTACTTCTCGCCTCCGTCATACCCCCACTGCCAACTGACATAGATTGTCGTACTTGATACGCGCACCCGCAGTACCTTTGGCGGCTCAGGTTTTCCTACACGTTCAGGAAAAAAATAAAACAGAGTGAATCTGATGCCCATTTTGATAAAAAAATACTTGTATTTCAGTAAGCGCTCCGTTAACAAATACAGGATGTCCCACAAAAAATGTCCATCTGAAGGGTTCACAGAATTATCGTTATTTATGGGGAAAAATTCAAGTTCAACTATAGAACTAATTGATAAGCCGAAACATTTTTCTTTCTTGTGTGGAGTTTTTGTTGGATTCGGTTCAGTGGTTTTGAAACAAAGGCCATTAATGTAACACTAGACCATGTTGCCCCATTCTAAGTGTGACAATACAGGGTGTCCCAAACAAATTGTCCCTCTCAGGGTTGTAGCAGTATTTAGAAACAATGGAAAGTTATTTCTACTTTTCTTACAAAATCGTCAGGCTTATTATTTGTATGGCTTACTATTTTTTTTAATTTCCAGACGATGCGGTTCACCGGTTTTCCAAATAAAGGCTATTGAGTAACACAGTACAATTTTGCACCAATCAAAGTTGAACATTTAACTAATAAGTTGGTTTTTTGATTAAATTACTAAACTAAACAAGGAATAGTATTGTTGACATTTCTCATATGTGACTGTGGCCATGTGTTTTGTGTATCTTCTTTAATTATAATAAATGAGTGTCTCAAACACCTGTTAAAACAGTTCAACGTGATTTAGGTCATTCAGGCAGGGGTGGGCCTGAGAAAACAGAAACACATTATGTACGCTCTCAATGTATGTATTGTCAAACTTGGAATGGTGCAAAATGGACTGGTGTTACATGTATGGCCTTTGTCTCAAAACCATTGAACCGAATCCTACAAAAAACTTCACACAAGAAAGGAAATATTTGGGCGCATCGATAATAATATTAAATTAGATTTTCTCCCATAATTTACGAGAATTCTGTACACCGTCCAGAGGGACATATATTGTTGGGACACCCTGTACAACGTCCCGTACAGGAGCCGACTGAAATAAAAAAATATTGGGCTAAGACAATGATCCAGAATCCGGGCTTTATTTTAATGTATACTTTTTTCAGGGTCAAAATGATATATATTTTAGGCAATGTTTTCGTGTCTAACTGACTCGGAAAATGACATAGGGAAGTGTCAGTTTAACCCTTTAAAGGATCAGGTCAATTAAGATCTGAATGCAGTGTCCAATTTGAACGGATCACTCTTTCTGGTGGTTTACCTTATTTCAATAGGGGGCGTTGTTCAAATTCGACGATTATTGATACTAGATTACAGAATGGTGTACCGTATTTTGAACAGGCGGACATTATCATTTTCATTTGGGTGTCACAGCAGGGTGGGGGGTCGACTTTTTGTTAGGAAATTGTATGATATATATATATATATATATATATATTTTTTTGACAGAGCTGGGGGGGGGAGGTTGACCACCAAACCCCCCTCTGGATCCGCGCCTGATACGAAATGAGGCTAATCGA